AGTGTGAAGCTGTGTCCCTACATCCCTAGGCACACAGCAGCTCTCTCTTAGTCATGACTTGTTTCTAGCAGGATTAAGGGAAGCTTGGGGACTTTGAGGTTTTCCAAACCCCTTCAATTAACTTCTGGCTTGCAGGGTTCACAGAATTTGCCTGAATTTATGACCCATTTTTCTTTTAAATGGCTCGTTTTATTTTATTTTTTTTCCTAAGGATGACTCAATTCCGGAATGTTTTTCTAGCTAAAGGGCATCCTGTGCTTTGATATGGGGATGGGAGAGGCTCTGAGGGCAGTGCTGGCACCAGGAGTGGACCCTTGCCTCTCAGGATGCTGCGTCTTCTCCCAAGGTCCCCCAGGCAGAGCAGGCAGCAGGAAGGTTGTTCAGTTGAACATTAGACCTCTCATGCCTATAGAAAGAGGTGTAAAGATTGTGCTCAGTCTTGGTTTGCAATGCCAGTGTTTATGTGGGCATACCATTAAGTAGGTGCTCTGCCCGTGAGCCAGTGTTTAAAGGTTAAGGTCAGAGTCATTTCCAAAGCTGCAATTACCTCATGTGCTTGGCAAATTCTGTTTTTTACACCAACTTTCCAGCCATGTAAATACAAAATCATCCTTTTTATCCAGCGTGCTTTTAAAACCATTTCTTAAAGCTGCTGAATTTGTTTTATGTGACATCAAAAGGGAAGGCTGCATCTGGCTGAGACCACACATGCCAACTTACCAGTTTGTGTAGGCTGCTCCAGTGTTTGTGCAGCATTTACAGCACCCCAGATGAGAAGCTCTACAGAAGGACAAACAAAGTACCCTGATTTTTATTACAACTACTTTCATCTGCCACTGAAAATGGGGTTAGGACTGGGCTGATGCTCGCGGTCCAGTGATGGCACCATGTAGCAAAACCCCAGTGTGGGGGCTGAAAGCAGAGAGCAGACCAATATTCTGAGGGTCAGGAGAACACAGCAGGTTGAAAGTCATTGAGGTTTTAGGGATGGCAGCAGCCTTGCTACCCTGTGCAAATGGGACAGGCAGCAAAGCCTCCAGGGCATGCCCCACTGGGACCTCTGTCTCCTCCAACCTCCATCTCCCATGGGAGAGGTGCCATGGGGAGCAGGAGCAGTGCTGTCTGCACAGCCCTGTGGATATAGGTCATCAGAAAGCCATGCTGAGCTATTTTGGCCATGGCAGCAGTAATCCCAAGCAGTCTGAGCAGTGTTTGCATTATCATCCCCAAGCACACTTCCAGCCTTGCCTGTTCAGTGCACGCCAGGAGCATGCTGATGGTGACTTGGGTCTGTTGCCATGGGCCTGGGATGCTTTGTCTTGTGTGGAGCTTACTGATGACTCACCAGACCAGCAGTGCTTTGGAAAGCGCAGCAAAAAGCACGTAGATAGGTTTGTTCAGTGTGAAGGGGCCAAGCTAGAACCTCAGTGAGCTGCACCCACCTTATAACTGTGGTCTGGCCCTATCCAGCCTTTCCAACAAGTGCCTTTTCCTTCTTTACCAGCCTCAGTGTGCATATGTGTGTCAAGAGAGCTGGTGGTGGGAGCAAAGGATGTATTGTGTTTCCTCCAGCCAAATCTGTCACCTCCAGTGGGACCTGACCTGCACTGCTCTCCTGGGCAGCCCTGTACCCAGATGGGTACCCACATCAGTGGTGCTGAGCCCTGTGGGCTCATACTCAGCAGGTCTCTTGTGTTCGTGCACACCAGGTTGAAGCCTCAGAAGAGACCAGGCAGTGGCGCGTCCCAGCCATGTGAGAACATCGTGGTCGCCTACTACTTCTGCGGAGAGCCCATCCCCTACCGCACCTTCGTCAAGGGGCGCGTGGTGACGCTGGGACAGTTCAAGGAGCTGCTGACCAAGAAAGGGAACTACAGGTAAGGGCTGCTCCCCGTGCGTGCTGTGGTGCCGCAGACCATCAGCAACCCCTAGCAGATGCCATGTTGCCCCCACCAAAGTGAAGCAGCGTGGTGGAGGAGGGCTCCCTCAGGGCGTGCTGTGGTGGGGATGTGGCAGCATGGCCAAGGCATCTTGGCTGTTTTAAGAGGCAGGTTACAGGGACAAGGGAGATTGGGTTTTTTGGCAAAAGCATCTTGTATCACAGTTTGCACCTTCAGCAGAAGCTGCTGAGGTGCCCTGTGGGGTCCTGGGCTGGTGAGGAGCAGCATCAGCCAGTGCTCAGTGATGCTGTGGGTAACACTCTGACTCCCAGAGCTGGTTTGGCTCCTCCCAAAGTTTCTTCCAGTGAGAATAGGGAGGTTGGGTCCTGTGAGAATCACAAAGCAGCCAGGCATGGGGCAAGTAGCTCTCAGAGTTCTCCCTTCCAAGTAGGAGATGCCGTGGAAAAGCATGCCTAGCAACCCTTCACCAGCACCACTGCCTCATCCATTGCTTTGGAGAGAGCTGTGAATGGGCTTGGATTCACGGTTGGAGCTCCGGAATGTGCTAGCATGGATTCTGACCATGCTTTTTTAGCTCACTCTGCAGGGCAGAAGTGTGGTCCAGGTTGCCTCCACATCTGGGGGAGCTGCTCCCCACACACCACATGGTTTTTAACTCTCTCCCCCATGTTTCTGTTTTTCAGGTATTACTTTAAGAAGGTGAGTGACGAGTTTGACTGTGGTGTGGTCTTCGAGGAGGTGCGGGAGGATGACACCATCCTGCCCATCTTTGAAGAGAAGATCATTGGGAAGGTGGAAAAGATTGACTAGGCGCCAGGGCTGCCAAGGCACAAGGACAGGACTGTGAAGGACTCTGGGACCGGAGGAGAAGGCCTGGGGCGGATGCTGGTGGTGCCATTGCCATGGGCACTGGGCGGAGAGCGGCAGCCTGCACCGGCACGGACCTGGCCAAGCTCCGGGTTGCTGGTAGACACCGTTTCACCCCTCAGATCTGCCAGTGGGAGCCTGGGCTCCCTCTGCATACAGAATATAAGTGTAATGTAGCATTGTACAGTGCATTAGAAAGTGTAATATGACCTTGTTTACTAAAGCTGCATATTTTTGATATATTGTAATAAAAGGAAAATACTTCCAATGTCACAGTGCTCTTATGTAAATGTAAAGCGTACAGGTACTGCAGAGCTCGCCCAAAGCAGACAGCCACCCATCAGACTCCGTCTGCTCCTTGCTTTCACAGCACCCTGCCCTGGCCCCCAGTGTGGATGGCACAGCCCCGCTCCAGAGAGGCTGCTGTCCCAGCTCACCTCGGAACATCACTGAGCCACTTGGACCGAGTCGGTCTCTACCCTCTCTGGCAGTCTCAGCTGCTGCACATGGTAGGATGTTTTTTTTCCTCCTGAGCTTTCTTGTGACTGAGTAAATCCTGAGGGATAGAAGGGTCGGTGCCAGCTCTTGGGGCTGGGAGGACTGGCTCGGGGCTGGGCTGGCAGGCTGGGTTCTGGCATCCCACAGCCCATGTGCTCATCCCCCCAACAGTGTGCCCCTGGAGAAGGGTTAGTTCACTGTAGCTCCTGATGCTGAGCTCCAGCTCTGGACAGGGGACTCTTCTTAGGAGAAACATAGGGGATGGAACTGATAAGACACTAAAGTTGAGGACAAGAAATGTCTATTTTTAGAGTCCTGCATCTTGTTGGCTTCTGTGTCTCAGGAGGCAGCATGAGAGCACTGCAGCCTGCTGTGAGAGCAGAGGGGTGATTGATGCCAGTGTGTGGGGCTCCTGTAGAGCCAGGGCACCCAGTGGGGCAGCCAGCAGCACCTTGGAAGCCTCCTGGGCTTACTCAGATGCAAGAAAGCTGAGGGCTGCCCTGGTGCTCCCACCACCCTGCCCTTGGCCCTGCCCTGCTCCAGCACAGCTACAGCTCTGTGCCAGCTCTTTTGAGACCAGCCCTTTTGAAACCAAGGCAGCTCCCAAAGCCATGGGGCTTCCACATTGACACTTGCCCTGCCCAGCACTGCTCCTGGCATTGGGGCTGCTGGGGACCCTGTAGCACGGCGCCGGGATGTGACTCAGCCCGTTGTATATGTCACCGAGTGCCTTTAAAACACGGTTCTGTGACTTGCCTATACTCTACATGAAGTCCAGCAAAATCCACAATCGTTTTCAGCCCAGGAACAGCGTTACGAGGGGTTTCCCTCCCTGGTTTTTTGAGTTCTGATGGTTGTGTCTGGTGAGGTTGTGAACGTGCCCGGAATTTCCGTCTCCCCCTTTTTTCTCAGGGGGTCCCCTGTAAATATGTACAGTGGCCGCGCAGCCCCCTTCTCCTCTACGTTCTCATGTGCTGACATGTACAATGATCTTTTCAAAGGTACTTGGATAAAGTGAATAAAACCCCATGTCCCACCGCCTGCTGCTTTCTTCCTTCCCTGTGGAATAGACACCGTGGCCCCCGCAGCCAGCAGATGGAGCAGGATGGCAAAGGGCCTGGGCACATGATGAGGCTGGGGCAGTGATGGGCTCCATGGAGGGGTGGCAGGGCAGGTACCGGCCCCAGGAAACCAACATGTTTCCCACGGAGGAACAGCTCGGGGTCAGGGAGCAGCAAACCCAGGGGAGAGGGGATGGTGATGGGCCTTGAGGGGATGCTGGGGGGGTCCAAGAGGTTGCAAGCCAGGCTGAAGAGGAGCATGTGGAGCCCCGTGTTGGGCTGGTGCATGGCTGTGGAGCCCAGGCCTGGGGTGGGAGAGCTGCCTGCGAGCTATGAAACAGGGGCTCCGCCAGCCCCCTTCACCTGCACCCTGGCAGCCCAGCGTGAGGGAGACTGCCCTGTCACAGCTGTGTTTCCTGCAGCCCTGGCCACCCTGTGCCATCATAGGGCTGCCAGTCCAAGTGCTGCAGCACACATGGGGCTGTGCCGGCCCAGCACCCTGGGGAGGCAGAGGGCCCTTGAAGGGCCCCTTGCTGCACCCTCCTCTGCTGATCGTCAGCCCTGCCCTGTCCCCAAGACGTGGGTGCTCCCCAAGACTTGCTGCCATGGTGCTGTGGAGCTGCAGACACAGACCAGAGCCCACATGGTTTCCAGGTGGTTTATAGCACGCACTGGAGTGGGACAGGGCTCACAGCTCATCCCGGGATGCGCTCTGCTCCTTGCTGCCTGTGCCATTCTCAGGGGTCTTGGGCACCTGGAGAAGGCAGCAGTGAGCCATGGACAGACACAGCTCCTGCCTGTCCCCATCCCACAGGATCTGTCCCCCACCCCACAGAGGCTGGAGGCACCCCAGGGGGGTGGGAAGACCCTGCTCACCACAGGTGGCTCCTCAGGCAGCATTCCCCCGTTTTCCAGGAACTTGGAGAAGGTCTCCACGTCGCGGGAGCCCTTGAACTCAACCATCTGCAGCCACGGGGTGGAAAGATGGATGATGATGAGTGACCCCATCACCTGGGTTCTGGCACAGCACCCTCTGGTGCCCTCACCCACCTTCCTGCCTGGCCCCGCGGGGAAGTAGTGGAGGGTGGGGAAGCTGGTGATGGTGACGTTCTCCATCTCGTTGGCCGTGGCATCCAACTCGGCGATGATGATGTCCTCGTGGTCCTTGTAGCGCTCCCCCAGCTCCTCCCAGGCCGCCGCCATCGCCTGGCAGTGGGAGCACCACGGTGCATCTGTGGGGCAGGCACAGTGCCGGGGACCAGGCCGGGACACGGCTCTGTGTGGGTCAGGCTGAGGGGGCTGAGGTGGGACTGGGGCTGCGGCAGGGAGGCTGAGCCCAGGGGCTTATGGGGGTCCCAGCACTTACAGAACTTGACAAAGACGCTCTTGGTCTCATCAAACGCCACCTGCTCGAAGGTCTGACCCACCAGCACCTTAACAGCCCGCGTGTCCCAGTCCTCGGGTGGCTCCGCGCTCAGCAGGTGGGGCTGTGGGGACAGTCGGGACAGCCACAGCCTGGGCTGAGCGGTGCCAGGGCCCCACGGCAGCCAGGGGGTGCTCCTGTACGTCGGACCGCTGCTTCCCCTCTGACACCACCCCAGCTCTGTGTGTCTCCACATCAATGATCCCCTGCCTCCTTCCCCATAAGCCCCCCCCAGATCCTCAGGCCTGACAGCACAAGTTGGTGTGTCCATCAGGCTTTGGAGCAACCAGCACCCCTGTTGCTGGTTGGTTGGCACAGTGCCGCACCCCTCACCTTCACTTTGCCGTCCAGCACAGCCTGGATGAAGGTGCTTATGGCTGTGTCCGAGAAGGAATCCTGCTCCATGCGGTACTTGCGGTTGTTCTTCATCTTGACTAGGCGTAGGGTGGGGGCATCAGCGGGGGTCATGCCAAAGAAGGTCAGGACGTTGGCTCCATCCCCGGTCACATCCACCACCACGAACAGCACCTGGGAGATGGGTGGGTGACATGAGGCTGGTGTCACCTGCGGCTGTGGGTCCCCACCATGGGACCTGCTCACCTTGCCCCTGAAGGCACCAGCAGCCGCCTGGAAGCCATCCCGCAGTGCCAGCTGTGCCGACGATGACTTGTTGAGGAAGAGCAGCATGTGGTGTGGGATCTTGGCACTGAAGATCTGGTCGGAGGTCTATGGAGTACGAGGAGGGTGAGGGCAGGGCCCTGGCTCCAGCAAGGATGGGTGCAGGGACAGGCTGTACCTCTCTGGTGAACTCCACCACCAGCTCCAGGCTGTGGGCGCGGATCAGCTGGGTGAGCTCAGCCGCATCCAGCCCCTGTGCTGGGTCCACGGGGAAGTCTGTCCGACCCTCGTTGAACTGACAGTGCAGAGCACGGTGAGGGCTGCGGTGGGCAGGATGTGCCCACAGCCCCTGCACTACCTCCTCACCTTGAAGAGGCAGACGGTGTCGGCCGACAGCCCGTACGCCTGGAAGAGCTCGGTCGCCTCAGCCACACCAAATGGCACATCCACCATCTCCATGGCCACCTCGTAGAACACCTGGGCTGCCTCGCCCCCCAGGTCCTGCACAGCCACCCGTGAGCAGCCGTGGCCATGGGCACAGCCCCAGTCCAGCCCTTACCCACCCCAACCCACCTTGAAGAAGCCGACGACCACCAGGTCCTGGGAGCTGATGAAGGTGCTGGCGGTGTCAGTGTCCTGCAGCAGCATGGCGCTGGGGCTGGCCCGACGCTGCATCCAGCCCACGATGCCCTTCATGTCCATGCGGCCTGCCACGGGGGCCGTCACCCCGGCCACCCTCACTGGGCTGCACCCACGCTGTGCCATCAGCCCCCAGCCACCCGCTTGCCATCACCCCATGCCATCACCTGCTCTCCATCACCACCCTGCAGTCCCCATGAGGACACTGACACCCATCTCACCATCACCCACTGCCACCCATCCTTGCACACCCATCCCACCCCAGCACCCATCACAGCATCCCCACAACAGTGCCGTGGCCACAGCCCTACCGGTGTAGTCGATGGGGTGGGTGCGGTTGCCGTCACGAAAGAGCTTGAGTGTGGGGTAGGAGGTGATGCCAAACTCCTTGGCCAGGGCTGTCTGTGCTGTGGCATCCACCTTGCCCAGCCGTGCCGGGCTGGACTCGTTCCTCAGCGCCACAGCTGCCTGGGTGTAGGCAGGGGCCAGCCGCTGGCAGTGCCTGCACCAGGGCGCGTCTGTGGGCAAGGGCTGGTGGTTGGTCCCCAGGGTGAGCTCGGTGGGTTGCCAGGGCATGTAAGGCTGCGTGAGCATGTTGGGCTCTAGCCTGCTCCAGGGCACATGTCCCACACCCCAACTATGTGCCTATGCCCTGTGTCCCATTCCCATTACACATCCCGTGCCCCATGCCTCTGCCTGTGTCACTGCTCCGTGTCCCCGTCCTCATGCCATGCACCATACCCTGCCCTGTCACATCCATGCCTTGTGCCCCTGCCCACATCCCCATCCTGTGCCCCTCTCTGCACCCACGTCCGTGTCTGGTTCTGCCCATACCCCTGCCCACAGTGGGGCACTTACAGAACTCCACCAGCAGAAGCCGGTGCTCACTCAGGGCACGGGCAAAATTGTATTCGTGCAGCACCAGGACACCATCCTCCTCCCCGAGCTCATCTGAGAGCATTTCATCTTCCTCCTCCACCTCCATCTCCCCATCCTTCTCCTCGCCCCGCAACACTGGTCCCAGCCAGGCCAGCTCCAGCACCAGCAGCCAAACCAGCCGGGCCCCGCAGCCCCTCATGGTGCCCTCACCAAAGCTGGTGCCTGGGGAGGTGAGGGCACAGATAAGGGCCCGGGGCGGGTCGTGCCGGTGCCCTGGGGCTCGTGTCCCTCCGCTACTGGCTGCCCGGCGCTGCCGATAAGGCAACGGGACCAGGTGGCCGTTTTCCAGCCACCCATCCCTGCAACAGGACCCGGCCCTGCCAGCGGCAGAGGGACGGGAAACAGGCAGAGCCGGTGGGAGCGCAGACACACCAGTAAGAGACCAGTCTGTGGGATTTAATGGCGATGGAAGAGCACAGCCTCCGGCCAGGTGCTGCCGCGGCAGGGTCGCGGCCCAGCCCTGGCGATGGGGACCGAGCGGGCGACGGGGGTTAAATAAAAAGAGCAATTAAAAATAACTTTGGTTGCGAAGACCGCGACCGCGAGCGCCCGCTGCCCGTGGACCCCCCCCGACCCCACACAGCGGCGGTGCCGGAGCAGGGTCCCCCGGGCTGGCAGGCACCGCGTCCCCGAGCTGGCGGGGGGAACCGGGGTGCGGACGGGGGGTTCAGTCCTCCCAGGCCTTCCTTATGCAGAGGCTCCACTCCCAGGACAGATGCTCTATCTTGTCGTCGTCGGTGACAAGGGAGCGGACCCGGTAGGAGCCCCGCGCCAGCCAGCCCCGCGGCGCCTCCTCCGCCGGCGTCACCACCTCGTACTCCTCGGCCCGCGGCGCGTAGCTGCCCACCATGAAGACATCGCGGTCCACTGGGCGAGAAGGGGACAGGAGGGAGGAATGAGCGGGGCCAGAGTGGCATGAGCCGCCCTCCAGCCCCCCAACCCCACTCACCGGGCCGGCCCCGGCGGTAGGTGAGGTGCAGGCACCGCAGCCCGCAGACGATCTCCCTGTTGACCTGCGGGCGCAAGGCAGGGGTGCCATGGGTGTTGCTCCACAGCACACCCACTGCTACCCTGGGACCCCTGGCCTGGGTGGGGTGCACCCCCATCCCAATCCCCCCTACCCCAGGATCCAGCCTCTTGGTCAGTATTGGGCATTGGGCAGCATATCAACGGTGGCAGGGACCCCAGCATGGCAGGGACCTCCGAGTGGGGCAGGGACCCTGAGATGGGAGGGACACCCCTTCCAATGAGACCTCCAGGAACCACTGGGAAAGACAAGGACCCCACACAGATAGAACCTCTGAGAGAAGAAGGCACGCTGGGGTTTCAGCGATGGGGACACCAAGGATTCCCAGGGGGTCAGGGACCCCCAGAGGGGCACGGACTTTCAGGGTGAGGGGTAGGAGCCAGACACCCCAAGGGCACAGAGACCCTGGGTGTCAGGGATGCCAGGGCAGCTGGGACCCATGGGTGCAGAAGAGACCATGTGCAGCAGGGACATGTGGAAAAAGGACCCATGGGGAGCAGGGATCCCATTGTAGAGGGACCCCGGAGTGTAAGGGCAGCAGGGCATTATAATCCCACCTCACCTTGAAGGACACCTTCACCCTGTAGTCCACCCCTTCCTTCAGCACAAAGGCTCGGCCCCGCAGCACCTCCAAGTCTCCTGTGCAGGGAAATGGCCCATTCAGCCTTGCCCCCCTTCCTCTTCCTCCTCCTCCTCCTCCCATGGGTGCCCATTGCTCACCTGTCAGGTCCATGGTGATGGGCCCCGGCGCCTGCTCGCACATCAGGGTGAGCTTCGTCACCTGCACGTTGGGCACGCTGGCATCTAGGGATAAGCAGCAGGGTGCAGCCCTTACCCACCCGTGCCCAGCCCACTGCCACTGGCCCCTTTGCTCCCACACAGCCAGGGGGCTGCCCGTGCCCCCCCCTCCCTGTAACAGCATGAAGGGCCACAGTGTCCATGGTGGAGTGTTAGGAGCCAGAGGGTGCTGGGCAGCCCAGGCAGGGTGCAAAAGGCTGGGAGCATCTCAGCCCAGCCCCAACAGTGGCATCAGCACCTTTGGGGTAAGAGCACATCTCAAGGGCCCAGATGCAGATATCTCTTGGGGTATGGTGCTCCTTGGCTCAGGAGCAGGCCAGAGCAATGGGAAGGAAGAGGCAAGATGTGCAGATAAAGGCATCCCTTGGGGCAGGCACCCTTCCTGCACACCCCAGCCTGCACGCCCCCAACCACCCCCAGCTTGCACACACACCATTGTGCACACCTCATGCACCCCACTGGTTTGTACACACCTCACCAGCTTGCACACACCATCCCCCCAGCTCTCATGCACCCATTAGGCAGCATGGCAGAGTGCTGAGCCCACAGACCCCACAGACCTGTGGGGGGCACCCACGGACACTGAGGGCAGCACCAGGCTGGGGTGGCTGCTATGGATGCCATGGGGAGTGAGGAGCACCATGCGGGCACTGTCAGTCGTGCCATCCCAGCCTCCTGCGGCTGCTCACTCCATCTCCATCATCCCAATGAATTTCCTGGTCCCTTGTAACTGTTCCTATGGAAACTGCGGCGGTGATCCCGTAACCAAGGCAACCGGGGTCCCCGAGAATCATTACCCTGTCTGCAGGGGGATGCTGAGGTCTCTGTGCAGGTGGGGGGCACAGGTAGCACCCATGGGTGATGCAAACCCTCCCTGCTGGGAATGCCCCATGGGCACTGGGGATGCCTGAGCAACCTGCACGTGCTGAGGCTGCATCACCCAGCAGGGATGCCAGGGTACCGAGGTGCCCAGCCCTGGGGGGCAGCCCCCAGCCTTACCTACGGCCACAGGGATGGTACCCAGCAGCGCCTGCTTGTACTTCTGCAGGCTCTCATCCCCCGGGTCCAGCTCCTGGATCTCCCGCAGGCTCTTCTTCTCCGGCGTCTTGTACGCCAGGGCCACGTCGGCATCCTCCTCCTCCTCCAGCGATAGCGTCACCCCCTCCTTGTCAGCCATGATGTCTGCGGGGGACAGGCAGTGGCAGTCCCACCGCCCTGGGGACACCCCAGGGACACCCTGGAGACACCCCCACCCCTTGATAAACAGGCACTGGTGGGCAGGGGGCAACTGAGCTGGGGTAAACTGCGGATGGATGCAGGCAGCCCCTATGGGGCAGCCTCATTGTCCCCCTGCTCAGGGCCATGGGGATACTGCCAGGCTCCGTGTCCTCAGGGCCTGGTGCCACAGCTGAGACCAGAGGTGTTGCCACCGGCTGCATTTCCGCATGGTCATGGAGCAGGACGCGCTGGTGCCTACGCGGTGCGCACAGTGCTGAGGGTGCCTGCAGACGACCGCGGCCCGCGGGTGCCCTTCGTGCCTCATCAATCAGAGAGGTTCTTGTCACCTCCTGCAACCCCGCTAGGCAGCCACCAGCCCCATCTCCCACCCCAAACCCAAACCACCGGTGGCTGCAGTGAATAAAGCCAGCTCTGAGGGTAACAGCGCCTGCAGTGGGTGCCAGGCTGCTGGGGGGCACAAGGGTGGGGGATGCCCCACAGCCCGACGCTGCCCTGCCTGCTGTATCGCCCCCCACACCCTGTGACTACAAGCACTGAGCCCCCCAGAACCCCTGGAAACCCCATCCCTGGGGACACAGCCTGGGGCCGGGGACACGTCGCTCAGGCGCCGGACCCCGGTCCAGCTGTGCGTGTCCCCGGGGCAGCGGCAGTGAGCGGAGCAAGGAGCGATGGCCCCGCTGCGCCCCTGGGTCCCCAGCGATAGCCCCTGCACCTCGGCTGTCACGACAGCGTGCAGCACCGGCCGCGCTGCCTCCCACCCGGGGATGCCCCCTCCCCGTGGCTCGCTCAACCCCGCAGGGGTGGCCGAACCGTGCGGTGGGCGCTGGGTGCCAAAGGCCTGGCTGCGGGGGAGTCCCCCCCCGCCCGTACGTGGTGCTCCGGCACCCCGGGCCTGGGGTGATGCTCTCCTGAACACAGCGGGCGCCCGGGGCGATGTTCACCCGCTGCGCACCCGGGGCGATGCTCCCCCCCGCCGCCGCCGCCCCCGGGGCACCCGGGCGATGCCCTCCCGCTGCGGGGCCGCGCCGCCTGGCCCGCCGCCGCTCACCTCGGTAGCATAGCGCCAGCCAGAGCAGCTCCAGCAGCTGCCCGCCGGCCTCGCATACATCCAGCCCAAGCATGGCCGGGCCGGGCCCAGCGCCCCCGGGGCCGGGCGGGGCGGCCGCTGCCGGGGCCCGGGGCGCGGCTCTGCCGGTATCGGCGGCTCCGCCGGGGCCCGCTGCCCCGCTCCGCGTTCTGGCCTCTCCCGCTGCGCTCCCGCTGCGCTCCCGCTGCGCTGCCCGGCGCGGCCCGGCGGGGCGGCGGCGGCGGCTCCCGCAGACGCGGTGGCTCCGCTGCCCGCCCCCGCCCGCCCCCGCCCCTCGGCGCCGGGCGGCTCCAGCCCCGCCGCTCATGGGCGGCGAGACTGCAGTGAGCTCATCCGCCGTGCGCAGCGCCGCGCAAACCCGCACAGACCCTGCCCGCTGCCCGCACCCTGCCCCGCTGCCCGTACCCAGGCCCACTGCCTCTCTGCACAAACCCTGCCCGCACCGGCACCCACTGCCCGCACCCTCTCCGTACCCAGGCCCACTGCCTGCAACCAGCCCCCACGGCCCCTACCCAGCCCCACTGCCCGCATCCTGTCTGCACCTTGCCCCACTGCCCGCAACCAGCCCCACTGCCCGCATCCTGCCCACACCCTGCCCCACTGCCTGCAACCAGCCCCATTGTCCGCTCTGCACAAACCGTGCACAAACCCAGGCTCACTGCCCGCACCCTGTCTGCCCCCAGCCCCGCTGACCATACTCAGCCCCACTGTCCACACTTAGACCCACAGCGCATACCCAGACCCACTGCTCACATTCTGACTGCATCCTGTCCCACTGTCCACACCCTGCCCCACTGGTGCCCCGTATAAACCCTGCCCGCACCGAGCCCCAGTGTCAGCACCCACCCCCGGTGCCCGCACCCTGTCCTACTGCCAGCTCTGCCCGCACCTGCCCATGCCCAGTCACACCTGCCTGCACACAGCCCACCCCTTGCCCACAGCCTCCACACCCTGCCAAGGCCTTGTTCACCCTGCCCGCACTCCGCAAGCTTCCTGCCTGCACCCCCCTGCCCGCACCGTGCTCGTGCTCATGCCCTGCCTGTACTGCTCTCTGCCAGCACACCCGTCTCAACGGCCACAGTGGTGCCCCTCTGCCGGCACCCAGTAGCACAAACCCCCGAGGAGCGGGATGAGCCCTGCGCTCCCCTGACCCAGCCGGCAGAGCCGCGGTCCCGGGCAGCGCGTAGGGGCTGAGGGCAGTCCCCATCGGGCCGGGCCGTGGGGTCCCGTGGGTAGGGCAGCGGCCGGTACCGGGGATGGGGCTTGGGGGTGCCGCGGACCGGGGGGCCCGTCGGGGCCCAGCAAAGACGGCGGCAGCCGCGGCGGGGGGAGCGCGGGGCGGGGCCGGGGCGGGGCCGGGACGAGCAGCGCGGAGCGGGGCGCGCACCCGAGATGACCATCGGCGGCCCCCGCCGGCTGCACCCCCGCCTCGCGATGCCGTGCCTGCGCAAGGTGAGCCGGCACCGGCCCCGGGCAGCGGACACCTCGCCGAGACCGGGCACCGAGGGGACCCGGTAGTGGGATAGGGGGGACCGGGTACCGCGGGGTCGGGGCGCTGGCATAACGGGGACTGGGCTCAAGCACCTTGAGGACTGGGTACCGAGGGGACCAGGCATTGGTACCTTGGGGACTGGGTACTAAGGGGTCCGGGCGCTGGGACACTGGGGACCGCTTGTCGAGAGAAACGGCTGCTGAGATGGTGGGTACCGGGCACAGGCACTATGGAACACTGGGTACCGAAATGGACCGGGTGCTGGGACCGTGGGGACCTGGCGCCGAGGGGACCCGGGCACCAGCACTGCTCTGGGAAATGCGGGCATCAGGGACAGGGCACCCCCGGCGGCACGGGTGTTGGGATCTCCGGGGACCGCGGTCCAGCACCACTCAGTGCTCCTCGGGCACCGGGCACCGCCCCGCGGGGGGACACCCGCCGGCAGCGCTTCGGAGATGCGTGCTCAGCCTCTGCCCGCCGGCCCGGGGCGCTGCCACGGTCCCGGCAGAGTTCGGTCCCCGAAACCGGGGCTCCCTGGCCCGGGGATGACCTCGCAGCTCCGGCATTGCTCACTCGCCCGGCTGCGGGGTGCCCTGGTCCGGCTGGGAGGTGTAGGGCTGTCCCAGATCCAGGCACAGGGTGCCAGTGTCGGGTGGGTGAATCCAGGCAGTGTCCAGGCCCAGTGCCCTGGGCAAGGGGCTGAGCGTGGCGAATGCTTGCCCGGCAGATGGAGCGGATGATCGTCAGTATGCAGGACCCCGACATGGGCGTCAAGATGAGGAACCAGCGCTTGCTCATCACTGTCATCCCCCACGCCATGACAGGTGGGACCCTCAATGGGGCGCCCCAAGAGGTGCACGGGTGGGGAGGCATTGGGTGCTCCCTGAGGGAATCCCGCGGAGCACCCAGCTACCTGGGTGGACCCCAGCAGCACCCATTCCAGCAGCACCCCACAGCGCTCTCCTCCCTGCACCCGCGGGTGCTCAGCACTGCAGCTGGCATCAATTATGCATCGGCTGAGCAGGGCGGGCGCTCGCCGGGGTGGCTGGCCCAGCATGTCCTTGGCAGGGCCCCCATCACCCTGTGTGACTCCCTTGGCACCCACCATACCGTGGTGCTCCAGCCCCGGAACCTCCCTGTGCTCAGTCTGGGGGACCCCATTGCACCCTGTTAACACAGCCTCGGTCCCCAGGGAATGACATCGTGGAGTGGCTCATCCAGAAGTATGGAATCTCTGAGGAGGGTGAGTGCCCCGGCACACGCAGCCGGCACGGCAGAGGCTGCCAAGGCTGCTGAGCAGACGTGCAGCCCCATTGCTGCTCCCCCAGAATCGCTGCACCTCGGCAACCTCATTGTGAAGCACGGCTACATCTATCCCCTCAAAGACCCCCGCAGCCTGGTGCTGCGGGCAGACGAGTCGCCCTACCGCTTCCAGGTAGGGTCCTGCTGCAGCTGCCGCCCTGGGGCTCCCTCTACCCGGCACTACGACACCCATGGTGCTAACGTCAGCCTCTTCCTCTTCCCTTTCCAGACCCCCTATTTCTGGACCAGCACCAAGTGGCCGGCCACAGAGCTGGACTATGGTAGGTACCATCACATCACCTGCACCAGCATGGGACGAGCCCCTTCCTGGCCTCCCTGAGGTGCCACTGCTCCTCTTGCAGCCATTTACCTGGCCAAGAAGAACATCCGCAGGCAGGGTGACCTGATCGAGCATGAGAAGGTGAGTGCTGCCCTCCTCACCTTGCAACGAACTAGGGTGTCTCAGTTCACCCAGGAGCAGGGGCTCACCTGTGGGGCAGCACCGACTCCCTGTGCTGGAGTGCCAACGGGACTCAGATCCAGGCACGGGGATGGGTGTCATGCCGTGCCTACCCAGATGACACCACCACTGCTGCTCCCCAGGACAACTACAACCTCCTGCACAAGCGGATCAACCACACGTGGGACTTTGTGGTGATGCAGGCGCGGGAGCAGCTCCGGTGAGTTCGGGCACAGCATTGCTGCACCCTAGGGAGCTGCCAGGGATGGAGCACCCTTGGGTGACAGTACAGGCAGGGTTCCAGCACCTCTCCACTGCCTTTGCATGGGCAGGGCGGCCAAGCAGCGAAGGAAGGGCGACCGCATCGTCATCGACTGTCAGGAGCAGGCATACTGGCTCGTCAACCGGCCCCCAGTGAGTACGTGATGGGGTAGCACTGAGGGCACAGGGGTGCTGCCAGCCCCTGGCACAATGCTCTTGTTGCAGCCAGGAGCCCCCAACGTGCTGGAGCAGGGCCCCGAGCGCAGGAACTGCCACACCACCCGCGTCCAGCTGGTGAGTGAGGTGCACAGGGCACAGCCACCCTGTGTGCTGGGGTGCTGAGCTGCCACCCCATAACACAACCCATTTGGGGTGTGAGCCCCAGCTCTGCTAACATCCACGTGTCCAGCCTGTTTCCCTGCCGAGCTGGGGGTTATCCATGTGTTTGCCTGTGTACCTGACACCCCTCTGTGCCAGTACCCCTGATCCCTGCAGTGTAGCTGTGCGTGAGGAGCCCCAGCACCCTGGGTGCCAGCAGCCATCCCTGGGTCCTTCCCCATGTCATGGTCCCACTAACGCTGCCCCAGACACCCTCACCCACCCAGCTCACCCTCACTAACCACCTACTTTCTCTTCTCTGCACTGGGTGCCGTGTCCTCTGCCCACGTAAGTGTCACTAACCCAGGGCTGGTGCCATGCCAGGGGGTGGATGCTGGGGTTCACACCACAGACTGTGCTGGCTGAGCCAGGAGGGGTGCAGGGATGAGGCTGGGGCCACAAGGATGGGCTGTGGGGTGCTGGGGTGAGGAGGGGGGCTGGATGCTTGGGTTCTTGCCCAGGGTGGCAAGGGCAGTGCACAGTGTCCCAGCCCCACCATGCCCTCACCTGACCCTGCACATCCCTTGCAGACCAAGAATATGGATTACTACAAGCGGGAGGTGAGTGGGGCAAGGGATGGAGGCTGCTCCCAGGGGACATGAGCTGCACAGCACCCCTAACGTGTCCCCTGTGCCTGGCCTCAGATCGAGTACTTCAGGAAGGCCATGGCCAGGACCAGGGTGAAGTCTTCCATCTGCCTCGAGGGGTGAGTGGCTGGTGGCTGCCAGGTCCTTGCTGGGGTGATGGGAGCACCCACATCCTTGCGGCCACAGCTTCCACACTGCCATCGCCCTCGGCAGGGAATGGAGCCGAGGCTCTGTGGTCATCACAAAGTACATCCCCACCGTGTCCCTGCCACTACCCCACAGTGGCTGGGGCTGGTGGCAGCAGCAGCCGGTGGCCCCGGCCACCTCCAGCCGCTGGTCCTGGCAGGTACATCAAGTTCAATGAGCAGTACGTGCCCCACGACCCCATCATGTCTGGCTGCCTGCCCAGCAACCCCTGGATCACAGACGACACCACGTACTGGGCCATGAATGCCCCCACGTAAGCACTCACATGGGGGCTGCCAGCCCTCAGCTCCTCAGTACCCCACCCTGCAGGATGAGGTGCTGGGTCATGCAGCAGCCATGGGCTGCCCCCTGCCAGCCCCACGAGGTGCTGCCCACAGGGTGCCGACCCCCACGAAGCTGCGTGTGGAGCGCTGGGGCTTCAACTTCAGCGAGCTCCTTATGGACCCCCTGGGCCGGGCGCAGCTCCTCGACTTCCTCAAGAAAGAGTTCAGTGGTGAGCAGCCCCAGCCCTGCACCCCAAACCTCCCATCCCAGAACCCCCAGACCCACCACTGTGTCCCAGTACCACCTAATCCACCCTCCCATCCTGACACCAAACCAACCCATTGCTCTGTCCTGGCCTCCCCCACCTGACCTCCCAATCCCAGCATCTCCCAGCTAACCTGTCCCAGCACCCCTGTACCACTTCACACCAGCTGGCTCCATCCCAGGGGTGGTTGCTGGGCCATGTGCCCAGCCACGGTGGACTTTGAGGGTGCCCAGCACCACAACCCCATCGCCAACACCATGTCCCCCTCCCTAGCCGAGAACCTGAGCTTCTGGGAGGCATGTGAGGAGCTGCGCTATGGGGAGCAGTCCCGCATCCACGAGATTGTGGACTCTATCTACCAGTGAGTGCCAGTGGGGCAAGGTTTGGGGGGCAAGGTTTTGAGGGGTAGTCAGGCCATCACAGTGCAGGGGCCGGGCACCCCCCAGGCAGTTCCTGGCTCCCGGGGCCACTCGCTGGGTGAACATCGACAGCAAGACCATGGAGCGGACACTGGAGGGCATCAAGACGCCCCACCGCTACGTGATGGACGATGCCCAGATGCACATCTACATGCTCATGAAGAAGGTGGGTGAGGGCGGGCAGGGCAGGGCAGGGCAGAGCAGGATCCTGACACCTCTGCCCGCCCAGGACTCGTACCCGCGCTTCCTCAAGTCGGAGCTCTACAGGAACCTCCTGGCCGAGGCCGTCATCCCTCCGGAGACCAAGAAGAGGTGAGGGCAGGGCTGGCCCCGGCGCGGTGCTGGGGTGGTGGCTGCCAGCACTGACCCTGCTGTGCCCGCAGGGTCTTCCCTTTCATGCGCAAACCGCGGCACTCCAGCCCCAGCCCGGCGCTGCTCCTGCCCGCGGGCGACACCGAGGAGCGGAGCCGCGGCCCCGCCGCGGCCCCCGTCCCCGAGGAGGAGAGCTGAGAGTCCCAGACCCACCAGCACGGGAGCCCCCAGGCCCGGCACCCGCCGGCGTGGCTGCAGACCCTGCCCAGCACCCCCTGCCCCGCCGCAGCACCGCGGGGCAGTAGCACTGAAGGAGAGAAGCCATAGACCCCCCTCGGTACCCTCTGCTCACATCCCTGCACCCTCCTCTTCCCCTTGGGGACCCTGCACCCTCCTCCCACCCCCCGGTACAAGACAATAAAGCCCTCATGGGCAAAGCTGTGGTTCCCATGGTTTTGTGGAGGGGTGACCAGCTGCAGGGTGGGGGCACACATGGTGGCAACCGGGCTGGATTGTGTCTCGTCTCCTGCCATGGGCTGGCAGCAGCACCCTCCCCTGCCTGCAGCACCCAGCAAGGGTGCAGACCCCAGGCAGGGGGGTACCAGTCACATGCGCCCATGGGACAGCCACCACCATGGCTCTGTTTGTGCCAAGGGGCAAAACCAGACCCATTGTCAACTTCACTGCCCTCCTGGCATGGCTGAGCCAGCACTTGAGACACTCAGTCACCCTGCTGCCCCTGGTGCACACATGTACAGCCCATGGAGTGGACAAAAAGGCCCTTCGTGTGGGGCCAGAGGTGCCAGGGGTCAGCAAATTCGGCTGCAGTGGCGCTGTGGGCTGGCAGCTGAGCCTCTGCCTGCCCACAGCCCGTTAATCTGAGCAGAGGCCAAGGATCTCCATCAGGATTATTCTCTTCCCTGGAGTCGAGCCACAGCTGTGAGGGATTAATGCTGGCAGTTACATAAAGGAGAGGGGGGCTGGTGCCCACCAGTGCTCAGCCTCATACCCCATCCCCTGCTGGGCATCCCCAGCCCACAATGGACTGAGCAGAGCCAGCCTGCACCCCAGCTAAGGAACAGCAGGGTGCTGGGAATGCTCGGGACCACAGCATCCTTCCCTGCCACAGATCTTGGGGCCCCTGGCACGGAGCAGGGGGGGTTTCATGGCTCAGTGCGGGGTCAGACAGAGGGACCTCGGTGCAGGGGAAGCTGCAGGAGCCTCGGTCACAGGATGGAGCTTGGGAGCTTGGTGCTGGCAGCCACTGGGCAGTGACAGATGGTCCCACACTCCAGGAGACAGTGCCTGCCATGCGGCTCCCTCCGGCTTGATCCAAAGCCAAACCCCAGCATGAGATTTTCATGCTGATGAACTGCAGCAGGGGTGTAAAACCAGGTCACAAGCCCCAGGCAGGAGGCAGGGATGGGCTGGCTGAGCTGTTATCTAACTCCAGCTTCCTTCTGCATGGTCCCTTCTCCCAGTCCATCACCTACCGGCAGTGGGACAGGGCAGCAGGAGGTGGCTTGGGGCAGAGCCACGGCCAGCTCAGCCATCAAAGCATCACCAGAACACCTGGATCCATCCCAAAACAGGGGTTTCTGCCTTGGGGAAGTCACACAAAGGGCTGCCAGAACATCCCAAGTGTTGCATAACCTCAGCTGCCACACCAAAAGCAGGGCACCATTTACAAACAATGCAAAAGAGGATTTATTGAAACCATTCAGTTAGACCAAGTCCTACAGGGCACAATTTGCAATAAGTTAAAGAACCAAACCAAACAGTCTTAGTGTTAAAAACCACACTAATACGTAACACAGTGATATATGCCATCATCACCCATCTGAGTTATTGAATCAAGGCACAAAGTCATTCATTAAATACTGCAAAGAAACAATTACACTGAGAAACAAGCTGGAAAAAGGACTTGTTTTGTTAAGAAGGTGCTGGTTTGGCACTGATGCGTTTAATTGAGCTGCCACAGGGAAATCTCCGTTTCCAAACTATCTGGAAACATTAATGAACAACTTAAAGCCAGAAAAGCCTCCCAAAGCCGAAAATTCATCTTTCCTGAAGCAACATTCAGTGTGCCTATGGGAAAGGTCAGGTCCAGGTAGGGATGGGAGGAGGGAGAGTGCCACAACAGTGTGACTGCAGTGAGCATACAGCCCGGGCACCTTGCTCCCTGCCCAGGGAATTTCAGTGGGATACAATCTGCATCCAACACTCAGATCAGACTGCACTCAGCCTTGGGCTCCCGCAGCCATGCTCCCAGCTCTGCCCCAGGACAGGCTGAATCCAGCCCTCACAACCCGTGATGTGCAGCACTGGCACAGCCCCGTGATCCCTGCAAAGCTGGCACAGGGACCTGTGAGGCTGCTGCACTTCAGGTCTTTATTCTGCTGAGCAAAGAGGCAACCTAAGCTGGGGGAAAGCATCCCTGCACCCCCAGGTTTCCGCACGGAACAGCCTGGACAGAGAGAAACATAGGGAAAACCCACCAGTTTGAGTCCAGGGTGCTCTGAAGGTTCTGAGTGCTCTCCAGGGAGCATCCCCAGCTTCCTGCACAGGCAGGACTGCAGAGGCCAGCAGAACTCATCCCACATGGCTCTCTTGACTGCCTGAGATATGGATCACAGGGCAGAGGGAGTCAGGGCACACTTCACACCAGCTGGAAGCAGGAGGTGAGCGTCCAGGCAGACCACTGATGCTGCAGCTTGTTTTGCTGCAGGACTGGAAGAGCTGAAGGGCTCATGTTTCAGAGCAGCTCATGTGGTGACTGCAGCTTTCCAGGATTGCGCAGCCAACTCAGACCTTTCCTTCCAGGATGTTGTTTCCACATTCCACACCCGACCCCACCAGGAAAAGCAAAGACACTGAGCCACAGAAGTCTCCAGGGAAGATGTCACCTTTACTCAGCAACCTGTTCCATTCCCTCAGGCTACCAGGCTGGACAGAGAGAACAGCACCCGAAGATCCTCACCCAGCATCACTTCAATTCCAAGGGCACGGAGCTCTCTTTGGAGCTGTGCTGCAAAGAGAACTTGCGCTGTTTCCCCATGCAGTCTTACAGCTTGCCCACCTCCTGGCAGAGGGGACAGTGCTTGGAGATGGCTCCTCAGCAGCTGCAAGACTGAATGAGTACTTGCAGGGCAGCTGGCACTGCCACTGGGGTAGAGGGTTCTGAGAGTGGCAAGTCCAGCTCCCAGAAAAGGTTAACATGCAATTCTACTCTGAAAATAATGTCCTACATCCTCTGGCACCTCAAAACCAGTAAGAGAGGTGGTGTCTGAACCAGCAGGGACCAACCAGCCTGGGGCAGGAAGGAACACTGATGCATGAATCAGGTGAGAGACCAGCTCCCTTTCTGTGTCACCAACACTGCACAGCCCGGCTGGAAAGGAAGCAGCAGAGGAGACAGACACAGGTAGGTTTGTGACTGCACAGTAGGGCACACAGGGCTGTTCTTAGGAGAACAGGCCATTTTCTAAGTAGAATGAACAGTTTAACCTGCACTTTGCTGGCCTCGGTGACACCTCGCCATGGCTGGGGTCTATCACTATGCACATCCCATGACTACCAAAGGAGGGGCCCAAATCCAGGAGAGGGTGATTGCAAACCAACCTGCAGCCAAGCACCTCTCCCACGCCACGAGAGCTGACTCAGAAAGGACACCTAACACCACACACCGAAGCTTCACTTCTCACACAAGCACCCAAGAAATAATCAACTCCGGCATCCCCAGCAAGCACATGCCTTCCTCCAGACACAGGCTGAGTCAGCACAGTTCTGTGGGCACAGAAGTATTGAGGGGAAAGCCCTCTTCCCCAAGCTGACAGCACTTCAGTGGTCGCCAAGCACTGAAGTCCCATCAGCTCTGAGGACAGATGCACTGGCAACTGCCCCCATGGCCTGGGCATCCCCAGACACTGGGGGTGCTTCCCCACCAGTCACGCTTTGGTTTGCGGATCAAGAAAGGCAGCTTTCCATTTGAATCCGTGACCTGGGTTTGCCAAGAGCTCGGCTGCAGAGGAGAAGCAGCACAGAGGCACCCGGCCCTGGGCAGCCTCTCCCCCTCCCTCGGCCAGCTCACACTCGGCTCTGGAATTGCATCCTGTAGAGGCGGTCCCGGATGTACTGCTCGCTGTCCACAGCCACCTGGCTCAGCCAGATCACCCTGCTCCCAGACACATCCTCCTTCAGCTTACGCTTCATCAGGGACACCGTCCCTGGCTCCTCGCTGGGCTGAGGGCCCTGCAGCAGCACATAACAGGCGTGACGGCTCCGCTCGAACAGCAGGGCTGTAATGCAGAGCAGAGGGAAAGCCCAGCCTCAAGTCTCTGTGCTCAGCGGCCACCAGACCCAATACCACGCACCCAGAGTACAGGAGGTACCAGAAGTGTCCTCCTGTGCCTCCTCACTGGAGGGCTGGAAGGAGAGGACTTACCATCGAATGCAATTATTTGGTCTGTGCTATTGCGGAGCTCCAACAGGACATTAGTGTAGGAGGGATGGAAAAGATAGAGCTTCTGGAGAGGAGCTTTGGATCTCTGCAAGAGGACACCATCAGGACATGGACCCATAAATTATCAGAGAGACACCACCAGCACAAGGCTCAGCTATTACTCAGAATAAATCCAGTTACTTGTCCATGTCTGCCCAACTTATCCTGTCTGATGCCCCTAGAACTAGTGCTGGGATTCTGCTTACTGTTCAGTGCTCTCCTCCCCGCCCCAAGCTCCCTGTAAATAGCAGGCCTGCCTGCCACAGGCAGGAGACAGATTTTTGCCTTAGGGCTGGTTGAGTTAGCAGGGAAGCACAGGAAGCTCAGCTGGTGCTTAGACATGGCATACTCCAAGACACAACCCGTCACTAACGTTGCCAGCCACTGCCCTAGAGAGCTGTTTTTGTGACCCAGCTGAGTTGTGCACAGAGAGGATATTCACGTGGCCATGGGAGATCACTGTGTGTGGTACTGCCACCAGAGGCTCCTGGCCAAACAGCAGCAACCACTGAGGTACCAAGCCAGCAGCCTCTCACCTCACCTACAGTACCACACCAAGGCAGGGCTCAGGGCATCCAGTGAGTTTGCTTGTAATGACACTAAGTCCCTTTACATAGCCAGGCTGAGGATGACAAAGGTGCTGCTGCCACTACCAGCTGTTAGGAGGGACATTGCTATGGACATTGTGAGGGCCCCACAGAGACAAGACCACATGCAGAGGTCTACCTGCTTGAAGCAGGACAAACTGGTCAGAGCCCCCACACCCAGTGCAGAGGCTGCAGTGTTAGCGGCACAGACAAATGCAAATGGGAACACGGGGAGAAGCTCCACCCAATTCTGTCCCAAAGCCTGGAACAGCAACCATTCAGCAGCACTACTCACCGTTTCGTTTCCTGGCACCTGGTATTCACCCCAGATGAGGAAGGTGGACCGATGATCAGCAGTAGGAAGTGTGGCTGGCCCAGGGCTCTCTGCTCTTGAGTTTAGCTTCAGGTTCCACTGGACTGTTCCAGATCCACTCTCAACAACCATAACCTAGCAGGGAAGAAAGAAAAGGAACTCATACCAAAGAACTCTGACAAGCCATGAGAGAGAAATTGAGTCAGCTGTCTCCACCCCACACAGTCTATGGGAACAAGCATCTGATTCAAGGGAAGTTGATGAAATACTTGAAGCTGAGCATCACAGAGCTGTGAGAGCTGGGGCAGGCCACGTTAGAGCAACGTCAAAGTTTTGTAGCTATTTCAAGGGGTTCAAAGCTCTTTCATTGAAGCCTCTTGCTGAAAAAAGAATTAAAGTGCCTGAGCCAGCTTCAATAACCTGTTGAAACAGAACCTTTCCCTGCCTAAAGCTTCCTAAAACCAGCCAGAGGGAACATCCCACCAGCTGTCCTCAACTCAATGCCTGCTCGAGCTGTGAGATGCAGAGAAAAGTGAAGTTAAAGGGAAGAGATTTCAAACCTTCTTCCTGTTGGGTCCAATTTCACTCTCAAGGACAATACCAAGAACATTGGGTTTATAGTAACCAAGCAGCGGCTCACTAAGGGAGAGAAAGAGAAGGGACAGATCATAACACACCCTGATGGCTTGGGCATACCTTGCTTTTTCAGAGCAGCCTCTGTCCTCCCACAGCTCCCCTGGTAGAAGACTTGACTGCCACAACATTAGGTTAGCCTGGTATCACTCCAACCCTGAGCCCAGTCCTAGGCATATCACAACAGGCACAGAATGAAGAATCAAAGCTTTGGGTGCCTCCATTGTGAAGCAGCACCTGACATTTGCTAGCAGAGGACATACAACACAGTAAGTATGGTCTAGATAAGCAGATAACATAATTCCTGTGTTCCAAATGAAAATGTATCTGCCAGGACTCTGCTGTTGCAAGGAACCTGAAAATGCCACATCCACCCCACACTGGTAACGCTACCTCACAACACGGGACACGTTGAGGGTCCACAAAGTCTGCAGATTGTGTGCATTGATCAGCGTAGCCATGTCCGAGTTTGCAACGAGGATGCTCTCCTGTGACTGCCCAGGAATTTTTGCCAGGTAACGGATGTCCCCAAAGCTGAACAAGGACAGAGGGATGATTATGCTTTCTAGACTGTGGATGGGTTTATTGAGGGTTTTGTTTTTTGGCTTGGTTTGGCTTTTTTTCTCCCTGCATAGTAAATGCATATAGGAAACCCCAGCCTGCTTTCTCTCCTTTCCTGTGAAACCCTGACCAAGCCATCAACACCAGCACTCTCCATGAGCTTCAGATGTGCTCCTAGTCCAAAAGCCATGTAGCCAGGAAAGAACAAAGCCATCTTGTCAGGCACACCAGTACCCTCCACTCCACCAGCAACCAAAACAATCTCACACCTGAGAAGGGACAAGCGGTGCGTAGTGCTGTCAATGTTCTTCTCCCACTGAGGATCTTGCTGAAGGCTGGGAAGCTTAATTTCCATCCCAGTTGCTGCACTGTAGAGATCTTTCAGGGAATACGCATAGAGAGAGTTTTCTGTGCAAAAAAAAAGCAAGAATGAAGGAGATAAGTTGTCCTGCCCTTGCTCTGAACTCTATGATTTTCCAGATCTGGCAGATCAACTGTATTTTTAGGACTTGCATCATAGACTTGTAGTGGTATTTTGACTCAAGCCTGCATTTGAATGTTTTTAACATCTTATCTGTTCATAATCCAAGTGTTCCACAGTAATCACTTGCTATAAATGACTACTTAAACCTTACATTCTCAACATTTTTTCAAATAAAATTACTACAAGGCATAACAAACCTTAGCTTAAGCAGAAGCCACCTCTTCCCTTGGCCTTGAATAGCTCTTTTGCTAGGTGAAAGCACGACACAGCTTTTAAGAATGCAAAACACTCTTTCAGAAAACTGTTTAGGAATCCCCATTTCACAGCTATAATTACTGCTTTCAGACTGAATTCACAAACAGAACTGTACCTGTATAGAAAAGAAAGTAGGAGGAGACCAGGTTCAGCCTGATATAACGAGGTTTCCCATCCACAGTCAGGCTTCCAGTGGAGCCGATCTGTTTGCCATTTTTTCCTGAATGGATGAAGGTCTTAATCTACAGAGGGAAGGGATAAAAAATAAAAAATAAAAAAGGTTAAAGACTACAAAATGGTTACAGTACTGCTACTGCTCAAACCTGAGTGTTTCACAAAGCTTCTGAGCAGCTGGTACTGAATAGCAGCTGAGTGGGAGCAGCATAGCCTGGGATGGAGGTTTTGGAGATAGGCATGAGTTAGATGATCCCTTTTTCAAGTTTGGAAGTCACTTTCAGCACATCCCCTTGCCCTGAGATTTTACTACCTCTGCCAACCACCTCCCCTGCAAGCTGGGACCCCCCAACAGCAAGTCCCAGCTCTGCTAAGAACAGCAAAGAACTATTCAAGCCTACTGAACAGTGACAACAATGGAGAGGACCTAAAGGCAGAAACATACCAGCATATGGACACAGGGGAAACTAGGCTTCACATGGTAGCTCTGCTAAATATTTTAAGTGCCCTAATTTACTCCTCTTAAGGTTGACATGAATCTAAGGGGATAAAAGAGCTGACATGTTTCTTTATAATCTTTTAACAGGGTAACAGAATCCACTAAAAACATCTGACCGATGAGAATTAATATGAGGATCAGATTCAAATGTCTGGGCAATAGTCATGGTCTGTGGAGAGCAGTACACACTAGGGAAAAGAGAAACATCAGACCCAGAGAAATAGCATCATTCAGAGATGCTGAGTCAGGGAGGAACCCTTCTCTGTTCCTTGAGAGGGAGGGATGGAAAAGGGAAGATCTGTTGCTCTGGAAGTGTAGCTGGGGAGTCTGGCAGGTAAATAAGGAATAGTTTGCTGAGGAGAATGAAAGTCACAGCTGGAGAGGGAGAGCAACGCATCCACCAGCTGTTCCCAGCCTCCTGCACTGGGAGGAGACACATACCAGCTCTTGTAGATCAGCTTCACCTTTACTTACAAGCCCTAGCTCAGCAGCTGCCCCAGGACAGCAACAGCCAAAGGCATTCATACAGCAAGTGCAGCTACACACCACTTTACTCACTGCAGTGCTTAATACCTCTATGTGCTGTTACAGGCAACGTATCCTGAAAAAATCTTGTATGTTCCTGGAAATGTTAGTGTTGAAGCTTGCAGCACGTAGAGGTCAATAACCCTCTCAGAAAAAGTTGCCATCTAAACCCCCTGCACACCTCTCAAAATTCTGCCATGTTAGGGAAGAGCAGTATAAAGTAATGTTCAGCTTCAGCCCCTCTTAGCAACAAAGCTAATTTACTTAAATTCTGAATCTGCCTTCTGACAAGGCTGCTTTTTTCCAAGCTGCAGAGCGCCACTCAAGCTTCCTACATTTTGCATGATTTCTCAAAAAAGAATATATTTTTACTTAAGCTGGCAGAGTGCTTGCCAAGTCCGAAGGAGGAAGGGATTTTGTACCAAGATAGCTAGAGAGGTTAACTGGAAAACAAATCAAAAGGCAGTTTGCAGAACAGAGACTACATTCAAACCTTTCTGGGCCACCTAAGATTAATAAAATAAAAAGAAGTCTTGAGATAACTGGGATAGCAAAAACAAGGAAGAAAGAAAACAGAAGTGAACCATAGGAGTCAAGAGGATGGAATTTCTGATGACGCTGGCAACAATGCCTTGGACAGCAAAACCTTATTTGCTTATGGAGGACTCCTGTGTGAAGACACGGAGCTCCCACTCCTCCCATCAGACTTGCAGGGAGACTAACTTTCGTATGCTTTAAACAGGACAGATTGCACATGCAGGTGATGCTGTACCACTCAATCACAGATAAAGATGTTCTAGCGTAAAAACACTTTTAGATACATGACTTTCCCCCTCTAAGAAATGGGAAATATGAAGGTAACACAACTGGCAGCTATTTCACTGACCCAAGTCAGAAGTAACTGGCACAGTGACACTAGGAAGAGAGCTTTGCAAAGCAGACCACAGGCAGAGATAATGTGTCAGGAAAGGGCAGTGGTGGTACAAAAGCACTGGTTGTCAGCTGTGCTTTGATCTAAGAGCCAAACCTGTCAGGGTTTGTTCACTTCCACTACTCTGAACAGAGTCCCAGAAAACTGCAAGCTCATCTAGCCCAGGCTCATTTCACACACAGCCCAGGAACACATAGTGGAGAGCACACTGAGGAAGGGCAGGGATTCCTGGACAGCTGTTTTTCCTTGTTTCTTTCTTTCTTTTTTAACTGTAAATCATTTGCATTGATTTGGGAGAGTTTGGATTCATCTCTGCAGGGTGGGAAAGAACCTGTCCCAAACCCACAGAGAGCAGAGGCCTCTGGACACCCCCTCTTAGACTACAAGACTGAAATAAATAGCATTCCTGCCATGCCCCGTGGTCCAGACACTGGGCTTATCACAGCTTCAGAGTGACATACCTTATCTCCTGTAGCAATGAAGATTATCAGGTCCTGAACTCCATCATTATCCACATCTGGAATCACTGACACAGGAGTCAGCACAGTATAATTAGTTCCAAAATCACTGGAATGTCTCCACTGAATTTCCCCTAGAAGACAAGTTATTAGGAAATATTCACTAAAACGCACTTTAGGTTGAAAGGCTTTTATTGCTCCTGCTCCTGGAAGTACTTTGCAGCAGCCAGCCATTCACAGTCCATCAGCACCACAAACCAGTCACATTAATGCTCATCACAAGGTACTTCATTGCATTTCCACATTTCAAATGAGTCCCAATACCCACAATTTTGAGTTATATTGGGAAGTAATTCTAGCTGCCTGCACAAATGCACCCAAACATCCTGGGCCCAAGGACAGGTTTTCTTGTGCCTTAGGTTAACACGTTTATCAGCATGTTGATGGCACAGAGAATCCTTTTTTCATGATCCAAAGCTTACTGTTGTGTGTTTAAATCTGTACAGACATTTGAATACCATAAAGCAGCTGAATTCTGACCACAGCATTGCAACTACTCCCCATAAAACCTTCTTTGCTGCAATTTGCCTCCCCAAGATGTTCCATGGTGATGCAACCAGCTGCAACTCTGTTCACATCCCCCTCTCCCTCTTTTGAAGAACACACAGCACATTCAAGCTCGTGTGTAAATAGAGGTGGCAAAGATTTGGTTTCTAAATAATGGGGGGGGGGGTTCTCCTCAACAGCTCTAGGCTGGTTGAGTGGCTCTACTCCATATGCTGCTGGCCTCTTTCCAGTCACAGCCCAGTGGAATTTGCAGTGGAATTTGGTGTGAGTGTGGGGAGACCACTGAGGGAGTTTCTTTTTAAGGAAGACTTAAGTGACTAACTAGGTGTTTAGAGGGGAAATGCTTCCTCTCCCCTTCAAACAGTATCACATACAGCAATTACCACTTCAGGAATGCAACATAATAATCTGTTCCTTGTCAGGAAAGCAGTTGTACTGAAGGCCAAGAATTACTACCTGATGCTGTCTGCAATAATTTAAGGCAGGCTGTATTTGCAGTAGGATTCCTCCAAAGCTGTTACTAAAACATTGGAAAAAAATACTTGGATTTTTTTATTATGACAACAGATGTGAAGAACATTGCCCCTATGAAATCATGGGAAGGTGAGGAATTTTACCTATGGAGAAAACAAAAAGGCAAAGGAAAACTGAAGTTTTAAATAACTATATCCTGGGTTCAGCACAGTTCAAAGCTACAACAGTAAGACCAGGCTGATGATACTTGCATTTCAATACATAAGGGCTCTATTCTTTGCTGGTCAAACAGCGGATAAAGTTTGGAGGACGCATATTACTGTCTTAGAAGAGCAATCTGACTTAACTGAAACAGGTAACAGTGAGATGGACTCAACACAAAGCACTTGAGAAGCTTTCATGCTCTAGGAGCACTAACTATGAAACCAGTCCCATTCTGTTCCACCAACTGGAGATAAGACTATTCTGTCTAACACAAAGGTGCTTGCTCAAAGCCCAAGCTCACAGCAGAAGCGTGGCAACAGAAGGCAAGATGGACAGCAAATCAAACCTGGGTGAAAGGGTTGGGTTTTTTTTGGTCATATAGAAGGAATAATAAAATTAGGATTTAGGAGGACTGACTCCAGCTCTTGCTTCAAGCAGCCGAAGAGGACTTCCCTCTGTCAGACATCCTCCAGGCTGGAGTTGTGGCTTATTTAGCGATTCCTTGCACAGAGACAATTTCATATATCTGATCATCGTGGTCCACTTTCTGCCACACCCCTCAGGAGACCAGAACTACTCACAGGGCTCACACTGCAGGCTGCTGGAGGACAAGGTGAAGAGAGAAGTTGGAACAAAAGACTTATTCCTGTCCTCTTCTTGACTCTGGTCCTGGTCCTGGCCCTGGCAGAGACGGAATACACACCTACATCGACTTTTGCTTTGACCTGGAATAGCTAACCTTAAACTCCTGTGTCTCAGTTTGCTTGTAAGATAAACATGCAGGAATGTTAGATGTCCCACACAAACAGAGGCATGCAATCCTACACTTCTTGTATGCTCAGGTCACTTCTGACAATGAAAAGAGCAAGACTTAACACAACTAGAATTGATACAGAAGCACTAGCTTTATCAGCATTTAAAGATCAAAAACACATTAGATACTTTCAGATGATGATCTGCCTATCTTTCCTCCTAACCTACAGGCAGAGGTTAGACAGCCTGAGAGCCCTGGGATCTCACCAATGCTCCACAATAATGAATCATTAACAGCTAAACATTGTTCTGGCTACTGTTTTTAGCACAATGTGATGCAAGTCAGACTTTGCCACTTTAGATACATTTAGCCTATTTAAATACATTTAGCTTATTTAAATACATTTTATTCTGGCCTCCCAACCCCCTGCCAAAGTCAACTACACCAAAAAAGCCCTTTTAACCTACTTAATAGCATAAAGGTAACAAATACATCAACTTCTGGGTTATTCACTTTTCTGTCTGAAGCAATTTTTAATCTCTTGCTTTTAATTTATTTACAGAATAAATACAGTAAATAAATTTTCTCTACTGTATTGTTGTTGTGACCTCTGGCTTAGCCTGGTTCCTTCTCTCCAGGAGCTACTTCTTTATGACTGTCTCTAGCTACATGCATTTGGCACCTACACTTTGACCTGAAAGCAACTGCTTCATTAATAGTCTAAATAACCTGTGCTAAAGGTTACTGATGAGGGAAATGGTGCTAAGATATCTCAGCTGCTACAGAAGCTTTTTATCTATGTGTGCGTCTATACTTCCATCCACACTGGAAATCAAAAGCTACAGTAGATCTTCCTCAGACCTCTCATTGTTTCTCTCCCAGTTTTTGGATAATAGGGCACGAGTGCCTCAATCCGAGCTACAGAGTACAGGATCCTAGGATTGGTTCCAAGGGAAAACATGCATTTTTTAGAGCCTCTGAAACAGTGACCACCAAAATGGAAAAATGTTTCAAGCTTCACCAGCGTGGAAGGTTCAAAGTGCATTAGGATGATCATTGCCATGTTCCAAGAGAAGTACAGGCACTCTTTACCCCCACCCTACATGAGGCAAGTTGATGATGAATTTCTCCATCTATGGGTTCAGAAATGAAGGCTTTCAGAGGAACTATGCAAAATCCTGGACAACAGAAACAGACTCGTAAGTGCTCTCCCTGATGACTTTAAAATGATAAATCCTTAACACTCCTCTTGTCACAGCAGGCACTCCTAGCACACACACACACAAATGACTGGGAAGCATTGCAGGTGCAACCCCTGACAGTATGAAGTAACATTCACAGTTAGTGACTGCTGCTCCTGTTTCAAAAGCTGTTGAGATGTTGTTCTTACAATACAGCAGCTGGCACAAACCACAACAGAGTCCAGCCTTTGGAACAGAGAGGCTGAGAGAACAGGCGCCTCTCAAGAGCCCAGTGAATGGCTCTGGGAAGGATAATAAATACTCTGTGCCCATTGTTCATGTACCAGCAAGTCATGTCATGCTGGCGTCCCCAGCCGCAGAGGTCCCACAGTCAGAGGGTGAGGAAAGCAGGAGCACCATCCTCAGTATGGCAGCAGTACCCTGCTCACCACTCACCTGTGTGCAGGTCAACTGCTGTGAGAGACACCGGCTTCCCCACCACCAGACAACCCGAGGCCTCAGCCCCCCCAAGCTGCTTGATGCCACACTCCATCCACTCCACTTCCTCAGCAGCAGGCCTCTCCCACAGCGCTCTCCCGTTGGTGCCAGATACAGCAGCAATGAAGGCACATGGAGAAGGCAGACCTGAGGAGTAGACATGTCAGAGGGAACACTACCTACACACCCTACCTTTGCTGCTCCACACCACCTGAGAGCTGGGACTCACCCAGTCCCTCTCCACACCCACATAACCCAGACCCATAGCTGCTTCACTAATTAGAGCTAAAAGAGCAAAACCAGCCCTTACTGCAAGGCTTTCTGTTTCTGAATCAGCTACCTTCATCCAGACAGGATCTGTTGAAGCTGCTGCTGCCATTGCTAGCTTTGAATGCAAAGATGACATCTTGCACTTTGTCTTTATTCACATCTTGTATGGCGAGAAACTGGTAGGCCACTGTAAAAAAGATCACAAGGCAGGCACTGGTGAGGATTGCCTCAACCAACAACAAAGCTAGCTGGAGCAAAACAAATTCCTAGAGTCCTACTCACTGCCTCCATCTCTGACAGTGTAACCTCAGGACAAATTGGCTTTTGTATTAAAAAAAGCCATCCACATGAGTACTGAGGGCTGGAAATTAGTGCCAAAGGATTTTTTAAGTTTCTTATGCCCCAGAGGATTTGTCCTTTTTTAAGAGCCAACCAACCAGAGACTGAACTATGTTGAACAAAGAACAGCTCTGGTCTTGGTGTGGGGTTTCTATTTCTGAAATATAAAAGCCCCAAAACAAACCCAAACCCAGCCCCAGATACTCCATGTTTCTCACTCAGCTAAAAACAGCCTTTTTCAGCCCAGAGCAAAAGAACTCGGATGTCCGCAGGAACACACAAAGCTCAATCCCCACTGGTGAGCATCACCTCTGTGTTTATAGCACAACCAGCACACACCCACCACACATAAGACTAAAGAAAAGCTTTCACAGAAGCCACCAGGGAGCAGTACCCAGGCTAAAGAGCCAACTGAAGCAACTACAAACGTGTGCAACTTATAAAAACCACAAGAAGACGCAATTCTTCTCCCCTTCCTGTTAGCCATGGGGAAAAGTCAGAAAGTCATATGGACAGAGGAAAAAAATGCCTAATTGTCCCCAGACGTCAGTTCAAACTTCAAGGGAACATTTTACAGACCAAATTTAAACAAAGTTATATTCCTAGATGCACTTCCCCACTTAATTCTTTCCCAAATGAGGCCAGCCTGCTACCTTGTTAGAGCTTCAGAGCAGCATCTAATTTGTCCATTAGATCCTGTAAACACCTCCTGGAAGGCCACTCCAATTATGACGGGCCACTGCTTATTCAGGTCAGGTATTCATGCAGCTCTTACTCCCAAGGGCAGCATCCCTGCAGGCCTGGCTCCAGATCGTGATTAGATAGAGGTCCACAATTCAAACTCATGGCACATAAAGGAAAAGGACTGTTGGTAGTTATTTATCCTGCTACAGCAAGCTCACCTGCATGGCTGTAGTTTCGGAACCATGTTCTTTCTGAAACTGGTCTCTCTGGGCAAGGAATGATAAAGGAGAAAGCAAACACAATTATGAGACACAGAAATAATGAGATGAAGAAGGCGGCAGTGCGCCACCGGGACAGCTGGGACAGCTGCGATGACTGCTTGTTCACTATTCTTCTCTCCACAGAGTTTTCATGGTTCTCTTGAACTTTTACATCCTCAGTCTTCAGAGGGTGGATCTCAGCTTCCGAGTCTTTGTTATCCATCATACCTCATTCGTAGGTATCCTGACACCCTTCTTTCCCTTCACCTACAGTAACAGAAAGGGCAGTTAAAGTAGATTTTGGAATATATTAAAAAAACAATCAACCCAAAATATTCTGTTACTACCTGATATTCACTCTGAAAATACTCAACAGGAGGCGAGAAAATCAGTGTATTGTTGCAGAGCTGGATATAAAACACTGCTGGTACCAGAGGTCTCCCACACAGAGCAACGGAGAGAGACTGTGGGATGCAGGAAGGGCACAATTTCTTCTTCAATTTCTTCTTCTTCTGCTAGACCCAGACAAAGAAGGCTACAGCCTCTAAGCAGAAAGGACTGACTGGTCTGTAGGTCTTCCTCAAGAAAAACACACCAAAAGCTCCTTTTGCTGCAAAGACCTCTTGCTGCCTCCTGTGTGTGTCTGTCTGACTCCCAGATGGAGAGGTGAAAGGAAACACTCATGACCTTTATACCTCAACATAAGGCTGTTCCCTATTGCAGTGAGCACTTGAGCTTCCCCAGGAGACAGTGAGAGAAACAAACACCAGCATATTCTGTAAGGAACAAACCAAAGCTATTCAACACCTTCTCAGAAGAGAAACCACTTGGTAAGTTTAGCAATCCAGCCCTGCAGAAAGCAAGAGTGATTTTCCTCACTGGAGGAAAAGGAGGTGCAAACTGAGACTAAAGTCAGGCAAATTTGATTTCATCAGAATGCAAGAAGAGCTAACAACTGCTATTTTAACTTGTCCTGTTGCAAGTCATAATCTTGAGCTACGAGATCCACCTTATAAAAAAGAGGGGTGGGAAAAAAAGCCCTGGTCATTTACAGAAGCCTGTAAGTCATCAGCCACTAGAACAATGCTAATGGATGTTGATAGTGCTTCTTTAAAAAAATAGCAGAAGGGAAGAAATACAGAATAACACATTCCAGTAGCCTGGAAAAAGCTGCATGGCAGTGTCATAAAAAGTTATATCAGAGCAAATAAACACAGCAACTGAGCCAATTTTCCATGACTGCCCCAGCAGTCACGTGCCTGGATTGTCCACTGGAGAAATTTACTTCCCCAGCAGAAAATAGCTTAAACTCAGCACTGACACAATGCAAAGAGCCTGGGCTTGCAACTCCAACAACAACAGGGCTTGTTGCAGCTCATGTTTCACGCCCAAGCTCATTTACAGGTTCAAAGAAACAAGATGAGAGACACCCTTGGGAGGCCAGGGGGGAGTCTCACCTCCTGGGGTTGTCCCTGTCTCATCACAGGGAAGAGCTGCAGAGGCCTCTTCTCTTCTGGGTACAAATCACAGTGGGGCCAGACCTACAGCAAGGCAGAAGTTGAGTGCCTGGGGCGAGCAGGGCATCCTGGCATGCTGCTGTCAGTTCCGCAGCTAACCTCAAATGCTTGCTGGACTTACAAGGCTGGAGTCATGGAACACTTACTCGAACCTGAGTACCCTGACATCTATTCTACAACAGCACATCGAGTACAACATCTCACTCCAGACAATTTAATTCAAGCAGAACAGTACCATGCAAATGCAATCAAATCAATAATGTAGAAGCTGTATCTTATTCCAAAGATCTTGCTCTAAAGACCTCATCTGCCCTTCACATCAGTCTACAGCAACACAAAAGACACTTTCATGAGGTGGCTGTTTGCAGACCAACTGCAGGCACCTGACGGGTAGGAAGGCTCCAGATGGAAAGGGGAAGGAACAGTCATGCATCCAGCCTTCCCCGTGACCTGGCCACCGTGCTGGCGAGCCAAGCACCAGACCTGCAGCAGGTTCAAGGTACAAGGCTCTATACACAGGCCAAGCAAATGATTTACCAGAGCAGAGCAACCACCGCTGCAGCAATGGGGGATGACAGCAGGAATGGGTTAGTGACCTCCCTTGCCATGAGGCAGATGGCTCCTGTGCCTCTGGCCTGCCTGTCTCCAGCAGCAGGCAGAGGTGGATTTTCTTGGACGCAGTGGCAATCAGTGTCTATGGCACGGGCTGCAGCAGGGCTCACGCACACCACCACCAACCTCTACAGCTCCACAAGATGGAGCCAGGGAACCTCCAGGGCACAGCCGAGTGCTTCCAGCTCCTCTGCAACCCCCCAAGAAGACCCAAAGCTGGGCTTCTCCCAATTTAGTCCAAAAGGGACACCATCCCAACGCTGTATGCAAGGTCTATTTTTATGATTCACTACAAATCGCACCACTCTCATCTAGACTGGGATGAGAACAATAAAGGAGTGGTAATTATCCTGACAGCCCCAGTAATTCCCCTTCTTTTGCAGCAATGACCCTCAGAGCCACGGACTACAAAGAGCCCTCAAAGCATTTAAAGCAATTCTTTATGTCTTCTTTCAGGGTTTGAATAATGCCCTTTGCACCCCTGCCAGAGCAGAGACAGTGCCAGAACAAGGACCACAAAGGTCAATGGCAAAGACTCAAAACAATGCAGGAAATCCCATTGCTTGCACTTGCAAAGTACATGCTGGCAGCACGGGAAATGGTCTGAGCTCTGAACAACAAAGAAGTCTGGTAATCAGTTTAATTGAAGACAAGCAGAAAATGACAGTATGCGTTTCAGATGGTTTTACTATCCTCTAGCAGCCAGCATTTTGTCTCCTGCTGGTAGAGGACATCAAATAATTCACTGGGAAGTTCAAGCCATCCAGGCACCTTGCAAGGAATTAAGCAGTGACAGGATCCTGCGCTGCTGCATTATGAACACACGCTGCATGCACTAGGTCTCACAGCTACCTGTGGATGGGAGGCATTATCATGAGAAAACATGGGAGAAAGACTTCACAGGAAAGGAAATAACTAGAAACCGCATGCGAGACCCAAACTGAACCCACTGCAGTACAGCCAGGGTCTGCATCCCACACGACTTCAGCTGCTGGTGTGAGTGCTTCCATCACTCCCTAAGCTCTAAAGGCTACTCTCCTCAGCAACTGGAAGAGCTAAAAGCAGTCCTTAATCAAAGCCAAGGAGGAACAAACACCCTTTCCTGTCCCACAGCAACAATGCTGCGCTCAGGACAGACACAGCTTTACCCACCTTCACAGGGACTGACTTTCCTCTTCTCCTTGAAGCTACAGCGCAGATTTACAGATCTCATCTCAACCAAACCAGTGAAACTTGTGCAGCAAGCAGTTCACACCAAGCCACAGCTACATCCAAGAGACAAACTATCATTACCAGTCAGCTAGAACTGCCTGACAAGCAGAGAGAACCACATGCAGTCAGGTGTATGAAGACTGGTGACAGAAACCATATAAGTATCAGTGTGATGGAAGGCTTAACTCATTTTCCACCCATAAAATACCAAACCCTGGCATCTGTAATCTCACCAGGCACTAGTTCTTCCTGGAAAATTCCTAGCAATATACCATAACTTAGGTTTGATGTTCAGTATGTTTATACCTTTCACAGAATGATAAATTCAGTTTCTGACTGGCCATTTTAGGAACCCAAACACAGCACTGGGCTGCCCTGGCTCTTGTGTTTGTTTAAGCACCTTACAGGTTTCCTCCCTGTCAGCCAAAAACCGTTGAAGCCCCAAGCTGCAATTAATATTGGTGAAACAGCTTCCAAGTTTTGCTTTGAATGATGCAACATTCCTTTCACAGCTCCTTCCACAAGCAGACTGTTCAGTTTTGATCCCATGTATGGCATGGCTCTGCAGCAAAGTTGCTGGGCAGTCACCTGCTGCAACATGCAGACACTGTTGGATTTTTCCCTTTTCCGTAGTTCCGCTTCCACTCACATCAGGGTCCAGCCAAGAGGAAATAACACCTAAGGCTTCTCACAAATTAAGAGATTTTCCTTTCCAAATACATCCACACCCTGCACACAAGCTTGTCATTTGGCTGGGTCATCTGCAGCTCATAACTCTTTCTCAATATAAAGTCACAGCACAGGCTGGAAGGGAGAACTGCCTTAAGGAGACCATCTCCTTCCAATGCTGGGTACCTCTGCTCCTGCTTGTGTCCACACAGCCTTTGCAGGATGTTGTAACCCAGACCACACAAAGGCAACGCAGGCACCCAGCACAGAGAAACACTCACATTCTGCTGCTACAGTTGTCCTTTGCCCTCCCCTCACTGCTGCTGTTTTGCCTGTTATCATGCATCTCTCCAAAACATCAAGTTATTCTTAAATGACACATAACTGTCTGGTGCCACAGAGAATTCACAGCACAAGTTACAAAATCCTCAGAGCATAACCAAGTACCACCTTAGAATGTGATACATTTGTCATTTGTAGGAGAAAAGTTCTGTTTTCCAGGACAGGAGACAGGGATTCAAGTAGAGAAACTTGATCTGTTTAGCAAAGAGCAAAACACGATCCAGTAAGTTCCCAAGAGAGCAATGGGAAAAGCAAAACTCTAAGATGAAGAACATGATTAGAGCCTGTATGGAACTAATTATAGCGTAGGCCAGTAATAACAACCAGCAGAAACATGCACCATTTATCATCCCGGAACTTACAAGCTTCGCTGGAACCAGGCCACTCACCCTCACTGACTGTTGCAGATCCCTTGCGTCAACCCCAAGAGCAGTAGTTACAGAGTTGCTTGAATTTCTCATGTCAGAGACATCCCCACCTCACCCATGGGGCTCCCCGGCCTGCACCAGCACAGAGTCTTCTCTGCACCGCCAGAGGGATCTCGGTCCAGGAAAACCCTTGAGAAGAGGCTATGGTCATTTCATGTGGGTTTATTGTAAGACAGAAAGAAAGTACATTTAAGGGGAACACTTGTTCCACAGGTCACAAATGCCATGCTGCCCACTGGGTCCTGCACAGCCTAACGAGGTTTAGGGCAGGATGAAACAAGAGTCTTCCTCCAGCCTCTGCTGTTCTTGTCAGCTGCCTCCCAAAGAAACCTCTCTTCTCCCCCCAGAGATAGATTTTTTTCTTCTTCTCTCTGACACACATTCACAGAGGAAACCTCATTCATTCACAAGCCATTCTACCTGCACACCCAACACCCAGCCTGCAGAACCTCTTGGCTTCCAGCCTCCATTGCAGAGGGCTGGCTCTGGTCACACAGAGGTTTTTGCTTTCCAAAATAAGGCAAAAAGGGTGGAAATGAGATTGGAATTCAACATATTAAAGCACTTTTTTTCTGCGAGAAACATTCTAATTCACATCTGCAAATCAGCCACTGAGGCAGAACAAAAAGGGAACTTGAACCCTGTCCAGGAAGGGTGTTGAAAGCTGGAGGTTGCTCTGTAGAGATGAGGGGTTTCTCGCGTTTCTGTTTGTCTGAACACAGACCCACACGCACAGCACTGTGCGAGCGCATCTCCGCAGACCTCCTACACAGCCCAACCACCCGGGATCAACCAGCTCTGATTAAACACAGAAACCAGCTCCGTGGGCAGAGCCCCTGCCTCTTGCAAAAGGGATTAAATTCTTCCGAAGGCTTCTCGATATGGCTTTAGGCCGGTTCTTGAGCTGCCGAAGATGGACAGCAAACACACCACACACACCCCCAGATCACAAGGAGGGGCACCGGGCTGGGACAAGTGCAGCGGGGAGGGCTGGGTTCCGCGGTGCTCCCCGCCGGCCCTGCTGGCGGCCTTCCCCAGCTCTGAGCTGCGGCTCGGCGCGGGTCCCGCCGGTGGAGAGGCTGCTGCACTCCACGCCCGCCCCGTTGGAGCCGGTTCCCTGCCTCTACAGGACCCCCTGAAGTGCCGGAGGGGCGGCCCGGAGCCAAGCCCAGGCCTTCGGGGCGTCCCGAAGCTCACCTCACCCCCAGCCGGTAGCCGGGGAGGCCCCGCCGCGGCCGAGCCGCACCGGCAGCACCGCCCGACCCCCGCCCCGCTGCGCTCCGCACTCACCCCGTGCGCGCCGCCACCGCCGTCACTTCCTCCTCCGGCGGAGGAAGTGACGGCAGGACGCAGCTGCCCAGTTCCGCCGTGCGGGGGCCCCGCAAGAACGAGTCCGGGAGCGGTGAGAGCCACAAACACAGTCTTTAATGCGATCAGACCGCGAGAACAGCACAGGCACGTACAGACACCCCGAGAGCGCCCCGCCGCCCCCCGCTCCCCGCACCGGCACGGGGGTCACAAAACAATACGCGAACCGCGGGTTAGATGTAAAACAACAGGGATGGGGTCGCATGCACTAAGGACTAACACTGAGAGGCCGCGGGGAGGCCGCGGGGAACCGAAACTGTTAAAGCAGCTTTATGGGAAGGGACAAGCACCGCCCGGACCCCCCCGCACCGGCCACGGCCGGAGCACAGGCTGACAGACACGCTCCTGTTCGCGTTAGGAGAGAGAGGTGTTTAATGACACCGGCCTCAGCGAGTTGAGGAGCAGCAGCCAGCCCCGTGCCCCGACAGCTCCCAGCGCGGCTGGTAGCAAGTGCGTTACTCACAGAACACCGGTCCGGGGTCCGGGCTGTGTCGGGCACAGCGGGGCAGGCTCCTCCCCACTGCAAAATAAACCCAGTTACAAACAAGCGAGTTACAATATGCAAAGTTCTTCCACACATTGGTGCTGAGGTCCCAAGCGCAGCAGTGCGCTGCTGGCAGCCCCTGCCTTCCCTTCCGTCACCCTGGCCTTTCCTCCAGCCCCAGTCACCTCTGCTTCTTGGCCACCTTCTGCCTGCCTGGCCTTGGATAAAACACATACACAAACGCTTTTTTTGCAAGTCAGAAAACACCAGGAGGTGGCCCTGACTCCAGAGTGCACAGAAAACAGGCAGGCTGGTTCTGTACCCCCCTACTGAAGACACTGGCCCAGATTTTGCACTGTTTGTATCTGAACTGGAAAAGTACTAAAACCAGACTTGAGCCCCTCTCAGAAATGTACTCCAGATCATTTGCTCATCCTCACAAAAGATGAACAGCTTTCAAAATGTGCAGATGAGGGCCGAATTTGGTCTGTCTTGACTTAGCTGCAGTAGCAAGGGAGCTCTCAAATGCTGGAGGTGTATAAAAGAGGTGTGTAAGCACTAAAAGGAAAAAAAAAAAAAAACACTTCTGAATTTCATATAAACAGAAGGAGAAATTAATTGAGAACCAGTGCTACTGGTGTGCTCACAGAAGGTGAGGGAGATCTTTAGGGAAGGGCTGAAGTGCTGCAGAGGTGGCCGCGGTCACTGGGTCAGACAAACACAGCGTGGCAGCCACAGGCCTGAATTTGAAACGATCCATCCAGATTTATTGATTCCTACTAAAACAAGATCCTGTTAAACAGTACGTAACTCTGTCTCTACAAACTCACAGCTATCTGCCAAACAATAAAAATTCCAAACTACAAAAGATGAGTTGTATTCAGTAAATATAAATGGGGAATTTAGGCTTTGTGTAGAATGTTTTATCAGACTATTTACAGTGCAACACAGATCATTTGAGTTCAGATCTCGCCAGCTTCTCTCTCTTCTGATCTCTTGGAACGAGATTTGCCATTTGTGCTCTCGTGCCGCCTCTCAGAAGAGCTCTTCTCTTTCCTCTCTCTGTCTCGTGACTTTTCTCTTGAAGATCGATCTCTAGAAGATCTGAAGTACAAAGTAAACCATCGCTATGAGCTTCACAACTAAAAGAGTTTCAAATACTCACAAAATGACAGCATCTTTCCCTAAAAGGGCTGTGGCATAACACAAGTTCTGTGCAGAAATGTGCCTAGGTACTGCACTGCAGGGACTGGCAGCCCTGAGACAGCAACCCTGGGCCCTCCACAAGCTTTATATAGGAGAACACCAGTTTTACAGTGCTAAGTGCACAGCTCAGCCTTTGTTACTTTCTCCTTGGAGTAATCCTTTCAAGCTGTGGCTAAAGGGGCTTTCTGAGGTCTTCTCTGGGCCCCTTGTTACTTAACTGGGCCCTGCTAAAGCCCTTCCAATTTCTTCCTCACCTATGACTCAGCTCTGCTTGTGTCTTCTAGAGAGTTTTTTCATTATCCTTTAAGCTAGTGGCTTTCTGCTCAATCATTATAAATGTCAACTGTATTCTCTGGACTCAAATGCTTGCTCAGCCCTGGGATTTTTACTGTGCAGCCTGACAAGCATGGTCTTGGGCAGCCCCCTGGGTTCAAAGTCAGGGTGATTCAGATTTACATTCACAGCCCATACTACAGGCAAAGCCTTTCACAGCTGGCTCAAAGGACAGCTGCAGATTCAGCAGCGCTTCACTGTATCAGCCCACTCAGAATTAAGCAGAAGGCCCACTCCAAAAAGGCTGTTTTCCTGCGTGATTATTGTCTCACAGCCTTCAAAAGGTGCTGATCAGGAATGAGCCCTATCGGCCCAAGCCCCTTCAGAAGTAGGCAGAGGCTCTCACAGACCCTGCAGGGCCATTACATTTTAGTTATGGACTCAGCACACAGGTTTTTCTTTACAGTCAAAAGAGGAGGATCTGGCAGGCACATCAGAGGTTCCAGCTTTCATTCACATTGATTGTAAGGTTTGGAAGTACTGCACAACTGATACATTAAAACCTTGCAGCTCTCTGTATCACAAGCCATTTCATGTTCATTAAATGGTGACATTTAACCAGATGACAACATGCATCTGTCTGAGACTAACTCTTTCCCTGTTCCTGTAGCAATGCCTGCTGCCCCAAGATTTCCAGATCCTGTGACAGCCTGTTTCCTTCCTTCTACAGGTTAGACCTCAGACCAGAACCTGAATGCAGGCTTCATTAATTCAAGGTGAAAACAGAAGCTACAGTCTTTGAAGGAACAGGGGTTTTCTGCTTGTTCCTAGGTTTATTTTCTTAAACTGATCCTGGTCTCTCCCAAGTTGTCAGGCAGCCAATCCCCCTACAACCTCCATGGGCCGATTTGAATGTGTTCAAGGTTTTTGAAGTAATCCCTTACCTGCTCTTTAGTAATAGTTATTACAGGGTCTTCCTCACTTCCTAATTGTCCAAACTTCTTTTCTTTATTTTTCATGTTCAAGACAGATTTAAAAAAGGACTTTAGTATCTCAGCCATTGGAGAATTAACAGTATTTACACATCCCCCCTCAATTATTAAGATATATTTTTTCAGACCATTATTTCCCTCCCCATCATCAGGTATCTTTAAAACCTGTTCTTACCCCTCAGCTAAAGGGACACAAGACACCCAGCAGTCAGTTTGTTTCTAGAACTGTACTTGAGCAGTGATGCCTAATCGGGTGAGACAGTGCTAAAGCACTCCCCTATGAATTAGGAGGACTTAAAAAAAGCTTCAGCAAGCTTTTCACCTGGTGATAGACTTGCTCCTGGGCTTAGAAGAGCTGCAAGGAAACACAAGGATTCAATTTTTCTAATACTCCTACATATGCTTGTCTCATCCTTCCTCCAACACAGTAGGTGTTTTGATGAGTTTCAGAAGAGGCTTAAAGCCCTTCCTCTAACTATAGCATTTCTCCTCAACAACAGGAGAATGGTGTAACTCCTCATGGCCTCCTTTTTCCCTCCCTCCAGTGCAGGTTCCTGAAAAACCCCCCTCTCTCAAGCAGCTTTCTAACAGATGACTTCCCCCAGATCCTAAATCATACACTTCCTTCCCCATGCCAGCACTGAAAGAAGCTGGGAAACAGAAGGTAACCATAGAAATGTCATGTCAAAACTGCCTCTCAGTTACTTGGCTTTTAGAGGTCTGGGGAGGCTCAATTAGCTCAAGCAAGCCTTTGTGCTGCTTCTCTTACAAGAAACCAGCAATTTCTCACAGCTCAGCACTGCAAACCAGGGAGCCATTTCTATCTCCTAGATTTGTCCTCTTATGCTGGCACCTCACTGTACAACTGCACTACTGCTGTAATGTGAGGCCATCTACGACCAGCCACTGGGAAGCCTTGCTTTGGCCCAGGAGCTGGTACAGGACACCGCATCTAACATGAAAACCCTGCCTCACTCCTGTTCACTCTAAGGGACTGGGGAGGCTCACTGCGATGCCAAGGATTCACAGCATACATACTTGTGTTTTGAACTCCTGTCTCTGGACCCCCGCCGGTGACCTCTGCTGTGGCTGCGGGAGCGGCTTCGGTGGCGTCTGTGTCGGTCGCGGGACCGGGAGCGAGACTTCCGCCGCTCACGAGAAGCTGACCTTGAGCGTCGCCGCCGCCTGTCCCGAGACCGTGATCTGGAGGGGACACACATTGCCTCAGACTCAGGAGAAGGGTCAGTGCATTGGATCTGCACACCTGAGCCCATCTCTCAGACATTCCCGAGTAACAAATATCCAGAGCACCAGCACTCACAGCCCCAGCCCCATCCCTGCCAACACAGGAGGCAGATCACCCCCAGGGTGGGCACCTCCCTCCTGGGCCTCATGCTACCAACAAAATGCCAATAGCTAAGTTTGATTTGCTGGGAAGCTTATATAAAAAGCTCCCGCTGTTACTGTAAGCATGTGTCAATGCCTAAAGCAGAGCCTACCAGCTGTGCCTCGCTCAAAGTGAGGCCTGTTTAAACAGAAGAAAGGCCAAAGAAAGTGGCATGTGAAATTACCATAACCAGTTCGACAGTCTGCTAAGAGAGGATCTTCCTTGTGGAAGTACTACACTTTAGAAGCAGATTTGTTTCAGTCTGCTCTAAAAACTAAACAAAGGATGTCAACTTATATGGAAAGCAGTAGAGAGGAAGATCACCAGCTACCTGACCAGAGAATGTTGTCACGTAATTAAGGCAAGCTCTCTATAGAGGTGGGGGAGCTTTTATCTTGAATCTCTGTATTTTTACATCTGAGGTATCATACAGGTAATAGATATATTTCAAACACTAAAACTATGAAAGTACATTAGATATTTATTGAAAGTGGCATCAAGAATGTTCTTAGCCTCATGCTCTGCTGCACACAATACCATCTGTCCTGACCAGGGCTACTTTATGGCCCAATGAGTGACATTAGGCTGCAGAACACCACTGAGGTGCCCAAGCAGTGATTCCCATTTCCTTCAGGGAGCAAAACCAAGAGACTGGGGCACTGAGTGAACTCCATTTGTGAGGCACAGGAAAAACCTCAGTAGTTAGATAGAAACACAAATAGGCATCTGGGACAACTGCACAAGAAATGTGCACTCACCTTCGACGGTCTCTATTTCTTGATCCAGACCTAGAAAGAAGACAACAGGTAAGCTAGAGAATGTATGATATAGCCAGTGGGTTTTCAACAGAATAACCCATCCACCCTGGCAGCTCTTCACAGGAATGCAACAGCACCCCCCCAAATGATACAGCATTTGAAAAAAGCTTGCCATTAAAACATTTAATTAGCTTCCACTTGGGAGGCAGGGAGAATGTGTCAAAACCTGAGGAAATCTGTAGAAACACTAGTTTCTACATGCAGAGCTTCCTGTCAGAAATTAAAAGGTCTACAAACCAATTCGATCTCTTAGTAACACACCACAACAAACCTTCCTGACTGTGCAGATTGGTTATATGCTCTTTACGCTCTGCAGTCTCGTATCAGCTACATCAGCTCTAATGTTCTGAAGTGCCACTCTCCAGTCAGAAAGATACTGATTCCTTTGAGGTAGTTGCACATCAAAAAGCTTTAATAACTAGAAAGCAGCATCTTCTCACTCATCAGATTTGTTTAACAAACATTAAGAGGAAATTTGCATCAATGGTATTTTCCCTGCTTGAGCTAGAAAAAAGAGGGGACAGACACAAGGGAAGAACAATTACTGAAAAGTATCTGAGAGATACACTAAAAATCCCTCATCCCAGACTTAGAAAGCCATTTCAGAAGATCAATCCAAGCCTCACTATTATTCCCACATTTCCATGGCTTCAGAGCTCATGTGCGGCACTCTCAGCTTAATGCTGCATTAGCTTTTGGCAGTCTGCAAATAACAACGTCTCAATTCGTTCAACTTCTGCAGCACCATTACTCAGCACCATGTAAAATACTACTCTGTGAAATATGGACCTTCCCTTTTTCTCTATGGCCACATTTCAGAGCCAGCTTACACCAAAACATCACACCCTGTGTGAGCAGCCTCTTTTTGCTTTAACTGAGAAGTGGCTGGTCTTAGTGACTTAGGGACTCACTCTTGTAACTGTTCCTGTCTCCCCACTGCGTAC